GCGTTGCTACAAAGAATCATTCGACCGGCTGCATGTCACATGGGTCCGGAATTGTGCGCCTCGGGGTTTGCACTCGTTGTCAAATCTACGGAGAACTAGAACGCATCTCGTACAGACGATTACGCTTCAGATGTGCCCTCAGGAACATCCGTCAAGAGCATGCACCACTATGCCCAAAGCATCCGCGACAACACCTTTTCGGCGTTTGACTATGGCTGCAGATGTCCTCGCATGCTTGGCATTCACGTGTGTCCAAAAACAGGTGCACCAACAATGTCAAGTCTGGCAGCTTTGACCCGCCCGATTTTCCCATCAGCAGCATGGAGTACCCTCGCACTGGATTATTTACTGGTGGAAACGACATCTTCGCCACTCGAGCTGACATCGATCAGTTACGATCTGCGTTGCCGTCCAGCACAATTGTCTATGAGAATGAGATCAGCAGCTTTAGCCATTCGGACTTTGTTTGGGCTGTTCAAGCCAACGAAAAGCTCTACCAACCCCTGCTTAAGCAGTTTGAGCAGTACGTCGACACCGGATTTTAGCATAGATGGAACAAAAAAGAATGAAATGCCGTGTGAAAGAAGAACGATACGGACCGTTATTTTGTGGGTAAATATGCCTCGAGCGCGGCGCGGAGTGGCGCGGCACGTCCATCCGCACCAACAAATATGCTTAAACAATCAAATCAGTGTACCCCACTCATCTAGCCAGCTCCTGCACTTTCGGGACTTCGTTTTTTCGACTGAATTGCGTCAGCATCGATATCAAATCTTCATACATTTCCACCTCAACGCGCGGAGTCTGGGGCGGCACGCCCTGGTGTAACAGCACAAACGTCCGCACAAACTCCGAAATCTCGCCGTCCGAGTGCCAACGCATCATCAAAGCGTACAACTGCGTCGATGAGAGATGGTAGCCGTCGCACTCCATGTTGTACGCAATATGCAGCGTGCGCTCAATCAAACCAATCGTGGTGCCGAGATCAATTAGCGAGATGTACAGCCCGTCTGGAATCGCCAGCTCGTTTGCACTCAGCTCACGCAAGAGCGAGAAACACATGTTGATACCGCACGACCCGTACAGTGCGTTGAGGACGTAGTCAACGAACATCCTGCCATCCTGCCTCGGTAGCAACACCTTGACTAGCCATGTCTCGTAAAACGTCTTCTACATGACACACCCGTGGCTTGCAGAGGGGTGATCAGTCCGCAAGCCTTGCTTGAGGGGGTTTGCGAAGTCAAAGGTAAAATTGAGAATGTGAATTTGTTGGAGGGTTATATGGTAGGCTAGACTAACCCGACTAATGAAAGTACTTGCGCAATCATCTTGGTCATCGTCTTGGTCATCGTCTTGGTCATCATCAGCTTGATCATCATCTTGGTCATCATCTTGAGTTCTCGCAGGTCATTCACGATACCACCTGTGTCATACTCCCTCCATGATTTGTGAGAATCAGCTTGGAAAAATGCGGCTGTTGCTCACCCGCTCGGTCGCTTTGCCCTTGTCTATTGTGACAGTTCCGTTTTCATGAACTGCACGTATTAGAAACGGTCCAGCGAGACAAATCTTCGTCTCCTTGTTTATAGCGGCTTCCATGCCGGCCCAGTAAAGCACCTGTCTCATTGTTTTGAACTGGCGTTCACTTCCCGGGTGGCTGAGACTCAAGTGGTACCAATTAATTAGGTCATCGCGCAGGCTGTCGGGCACAATGACGCGCTTTTGGTACGCAACCAGTGTGCAGCCGAGTAGCGGTAGGAGCTGGTAGTCGGGGTTGTTGTTGCCTTTTAAGGCAGGGAGTCTTGATCTTTTGGATCATGGCGTCTTTCTCTTGGAGCTCTCGTAGGACAGGACCATGCATGACACAGTCTGGCTCATCCGTCGTCGAACAAACCTCCTCCGCAAGCTGCAACTTAGACTTTGTCGCTAAGTTTTCAAATCGCATCCGCGGAAAAGCGTCAGCACCAACATCTTTGGCCCCCTTGATGTGGTGCATCGGGAGGCGGTTCTCCGAGAAGAGAAGCTTCCAGCGCTTGAATCTCAGGCTGATTTCGGTAGGATGTAAGAGGTTCTTGTGGTCGGTGTGAATGACCACAGGAAAATCGAGCAACATGGTGCGGTATTCGCGCAAAATTTTTCACGATCGAAAGAAGCTCGAGTTCCATAGTAGTGTAATTCACTTGGTGCTTGTTCAGATTTCGCGAGTAGCATGCAAGGATCTACATACTTTGCATTATGATGCCGCCGATTTTCTTACCGCTGGCGTCGGCATAAACGTGAAATGGCTGCTCGAAATCGGGAAACGCGAGCAGGACCGCTCGCGCAAACGCTTTCTGAACAGCGTGAAACGCTTCCGTGTCACTGGGTAGCCATCCGAAAGGGACTTTAGCGCTGGCGAAGCGGTTAAGTGGCTGGCATAATGTCTTCTTGTTCTGGACCATGTCCCTGTAGTAATTAATCATCCCGAGGAAGCGGCGTAGCTCCTTTCTGGTCTTGGGTACGGCGATCTGTTGGATTGCTTGAATCTTCGTCTGCTGGGGCTAAATCTCCTCGGATGTAAGAGTGAAGCCAAGATATTCAACAGACTCGCGTAAAACGTGGCACTTCTTGCCGTTAAGCGTAACATCATACTTCTTCAGAAGCTTGAACACGATACCAGGTGCTTAAGGTGAGTCTTATCGCTACTAGATTAAACGAGAATATCTTCCAGATAAACGACGACAAAATCCAGGTCACCAAATATCTTTTCCATGCACGCTTGATATTCGTCCGGCGCCGTAGAAATTCCCATTAGGAGCCGCTTGTGCTGGAACTTCCCGAAAGGTAAGCAGAAGGCAGTGTAATTACGGCATGACGTAGCGAGACGACGCGCGTAGTACCCCATGTCTGCATTCAGCGTAGAAAGACACTTCGCTCCCGCGAGACGTAATGAAATTTCTCGAATACGTGGGACGTAGTATGGGCTGCGCTGCAAAAATTTGTTGAGCCCACAAAATCGATCAGTAAACGCAGGTAACCGTTAAGTTTTTATAGAAAAAAGGCTGGCGATGCCATTATCGAATCGGTAGATCTTCTCCAGCACGTCAATGCTAATCAGATGCTGAATTAGCTCTCGCGCCTTTCCTTCGAGGCTACGTGGGACAGGATATGAATTGGCGTGAACGGGCTTGTAGTCAGGTGAGATAGGCAAGATGTAATCTTCGAATCTCATCCTTCCCAAGTGACCATCTTACAAGCTCTTGTTATCACGAAGAAGCTGATGATATTCGTCGACGAGAGAGTTGGGTAGTGTGTCGGGCATGAGTTTTTCTGGTCGGACTGCACTTTCAGCAATTTCTTTGCTTTCTTCGAGAAATTCGTAATCGCTCACCTCGAAAGAGTGTGACCCACCGGTATTAAGTTGCGCGTAGTGGCCATCCCACTGAACAACATTTTTATTGAAATAGAGCACAATGCCCAATGACGTCATGATGTTCCGACCAATCACCATAGCATCTTGGCTCTTCTCCAGAATTTTGAACCTGTGAGTGATGATGGCTGAAGGCTTGAGGGATGCAAATCGACACTGAACGACTGCACTGCCATCACTTGTCACCTCGCCATTTACCGTCTGAAACTTGGTCGACGATGCGACTTTTTTACGTCCAAGCTGGACATTAGCCTGCATAGTCTTCTGGTTGATGATGCTCATAGATGCACCACTGTCTAGTAGTGCTTCAAAGGTGCCGTTTGCGTTCTTGAGCTGAACCTTGATGCGAAACGGAGCGAGCTTGGTGCTTGTATGCTTCTTGGCGACCAGACCAACGAGCTTCATCTCACTGTTGCTGTGGCTGTCACTGTCACTTGACTCCTCTTCAAATCTGGGATACTTGTTCTTGCTCAAAACTGTTGTCTGTATCTCAGGTGGCCTGTGCTCCTCGCGCTGCTTCTTTAGGGCGAAGCACTCGCTGGAGTTGTGAGACTTTGTTTTGTGGAACTTACACCACATAACAGTATCATCATGGCGGTCGTTTTGCTTTTTGTTATCTGTCACAGTCCGTCTGTGAGGACGATTCTCGTGTGAGTCACGATGTCCGCACTGGTTGCAACGATCGCTGCGGTCATTACGGTCGTTGAACGGGCGTTGCTGGTCACGCCGACCTTGACCCCTTTCACCATTCTTTCCTTGACCATTCTGGCGCTCCCGGCCATTTTGTCTTTCACGCCTTTCGAGTCGCTCAAAGTACATCGCAAGCTCTGTTATGGTTTAGTAGGAGATTCCACAAAATGCAAGCTTGTCTTGCCAGCTTGGAGGCATAGCTCGGCGAAAGTAGCGACAGAGTTAAATTTTCCGAAAGTGTTTGCGAATCATGCGGCAAGTCGGCGTACATTTGAGCAAGCTCTCGCAGACGTGCCGAGCAGCGTTAAACTGTTTCGTCGCGGCGCTTGGTCAGGGTCCATAGCACATCTAGGTCTTCACTGTAATCTGCAGGAACCAGGAGTAAGCCGACCTCACGGTAGAAGTCTCGAACGTATGTCCTTTCTTCGAAGATTCGCTGGCGATGCGCTCAACCTCGCACGATAGATCTCCGTCGATCAGCGTGAGCAGTTGAACGGTGAGTTGGTCAGCACCCCATCCTTTTCTTTTTGTGAGGCTCTTGAACTTCATGCTCCATTTGTGCCAGTCCTTCGCGGACCCTCCGCAAAAGCGTTTAGTCTTCAGCTTGGCAAAGTCAGCTGGTGCGGTCGTGCTTTCTTGGCACGTCACGATCGTGTACGTGACGTACTCATCTTCATTGTTCCGTCCCATGTTGAAGGCGACGGGATAATCGATCTTGATAGGCCAAATTTTATTAATCAAAATTGCACACCCGTGGCTTGCAGAGGGGTGATCAGTCTGCAAGCCTTGCTTGAGGGGGTTTGCGGAGTCAAAGGTAAAATTGAGAATGTGTATTTGTTGGAGGGTTATATGGTAGGCTAGACTAACCCGACTAATGAAAGTACTTGCGCAATCATCTTGGTCATTTGTCTTGGTCATCATCATCTTGGTCATCATCGTGTGTTCTCGCAGGCCATTCACGATACCACCTGTAACACACAGCCTTCAAGTCACCGCGAGATGCACAAATGAACGCCACAGTCGTGATTGCCTTCACATGCTGAACGACACCATGCTCTTCCATCGCACCAATGAGCGCAACAGCATTGCCTACTTCACGACGGCGCATGTAGATAGACAGGAGCGATGTGAACACCTGAAGATTCGATGTTAGTTTCCACTCAAGAAACACGTTCATGAGATTAAACACCTCCACGATCAAGGCGTTGCGGTGACTCTCCACCGTCTCGAGCATCGTAATATGCCGGGCACCATCGACGAGTTGTTCAGCAATTGCAAAAACAGCTCCTTGGCCTGGTCTGGTCTACTCGTAGCGGCTAAACAGCCAAGCGCATCATTATAGTTTTCTACCTCTAGTGTTCAGGCACCTGCAAGCTTCTGTTCTGTCCAGAATACCTCGTCCAACACTTCTTCATGGAACACTGGATCCAAATGCTTGTGACAATAACGAATCGCTGACCAGAATCCAGCACTACGAGCCACACCTCGAGCTACCATCCCGCGGAACGCATCTTTAAACGCGGAGAAATCCTCGATCTCCATACATGCTTTCAACACGTTGACGTATATATTTTCATCGTCTGGCAGCACTTCATCCACGATGCCAACCCCCTCTGCAGCTTCGTCGATCGCGTCGTCCACCGGTAAGCCGTCCCCAGCACAAACGAGCCTCTCTCGTTTGCTTTCCATCACTTCATAACAATGCAACGCCAGCAAAGATTCTTCAAGCTTTACACAGCATTGAATCGCAGCTCCAAAGCCTCGCTCGAGCACCCGTGTCCTCACTTTCTCCACCTTGCCTCCTGCTGCACGGCACGTTCCCTCCACGTAGCCCAAAAACACGTGCACCACATTTCGGACTCTATTGCGTGTACACACTTGCTTTAAACAGTTCAAGGAACCCTTGTTGCTAGAAATCTCGCACTGGATCGAACGCAGCACTAGCAAAATACGCGCGTGCAAGCGCCAGCACTTGACCGCCTCTTTTTCCTGTGCGTCATCTTGGCCATCAAGTGGCCAACCACTGATGGCGATATCATCGCTTTACTCTTCTCGATCCACCCCGTCGTCAATGTCTCGTCTGTAGTAGTAGTAGTACCAGAGCGAATCTCCAACCACAACGTCTGCTGATACAGCAGCAGCTCGTGAGCAGCTGCAAACATCTTGATATTGACACAGCCATGACCACGTCTACGAGCACGCGGGCTACAAATTGCGGTCCGTATCTCCGCTTCAACTGTCTCAAGAGCTCCTGCATCTCATCCGTTTGAAACCCGCGCAGAGAACGCTGTCGTCACACTGCAAAAAACAAATCGGTCCACATGAGTACTCTTGCATTTTGCAACTACAACTCGCGATTAGGCCCAAGAGCTCCGCTGCCACGCGTTCGTCTTGAGCCTCCGGTCGTCGCTGCAGTGCCACGTTCCACGTCCGGACGTCAATCGTCACCAATAGCGCCGTCTCGTCAATGGCGCGCAACGCGCGACAAGTGGCTACAAAAGTCGTGGGCGGTGTTTGATTGGACAATAGAACGTTCAAATTGGTTCGGACTGCGGAGCGTTTTTTCGGCAGCGTCTGGTTGACTGGCGACTGCGCGCGCGGACGCAGCGCCGAAGCGCGGGAAGAGGACCGATCTTGCCGACGCGGCAGCACACGGTCCTGTGCATTGACAGCAACGGCGCAATAGATTTTGGCTTTGCATCCGCGTGCAAAGGGAGAAACGAGTGCGCAGTCGATGTGGGTTTCCAGACTGTGTGGTTTATATTCTCTCAAAATCTACTCTTGATCTCACTACACACTGCGCACAGATGCCCTTCCCTATCTCAGAAGTTCTGCAAGCTGCTAGCTGCACGCTGTCTCCGCTGTCACTCTTTAATCTGTAGTGACTAGGTAGGGGAGCATTAAAAGGCCTTCACTGGCGCAGCCAGAATCTTTCGAACGACGGAAACAAAGCTGTCACCAAGCCCCCCTCCCAATAATGGAGGGGAGGCCCAACCTCAGTCGATCGCACCCCTGGAAAGTAATGGCAGTATAGTACTGCCTTCGGCACCAGTCACGGGGGAGCATAGGCAGATCATTCCGCCGCATCCGATCGGCCACCTCGCACCAACCGTCGCCCCGGAGGCAGATGGGGACACCGACATTGACTCTCACCTAAAGCGTGCCACATCGACCAGATCCCCGCCACAAGACACGTCAGATCATGCACGTATCCCGGCTCCTCTTTTTTCTCCGGAGATTCGCCACCCGCAGGAGAAGAGAATCTGTCATCAGATCCGACGCGAGCCCCGACACCTGGCCAATCGACTCAATCGGGAGCGTTGGCTTCCAACACCTCGCCTTCTCAGGCGTCCCCCGTGACATATTTGACGCGTTACTCGTAGCGATGAAGGCCTCACCCGGGCCGGGGTACGTCGATGTATGGCGTCAGACCGTTCAGGAGCTGTTTTTGAATACGTAATTTCTCGGCTTCCGATAAGCTTGGAAGCTCTACCGCAAGAGCGAAACGCAAACGCTTTCCAAAGCTCAAGGGTCCGGAGTTGGACGGTCTCCTCAATTTGTTTCGGCAGTATTTTGTTCGGAGTTCAGGTACATACATCGATTGGACGAGACTTGCTATAAAGATAAGCAAAGATATTCTGCTCACCAAGTGGGCCTTTGAAGAGATTTTTCGAAAACTATCCAGCCAACACGAGTGTGCCACGGCGCCGGCCCCGACCTATGCGCGGGTTGTGCGCCAAGGAGCACAGCCATTCCAGGAAGGGCAGAAGGGGCAAGCGTCTCTTGTCTATGATGATTTTATGTTTGACCCGGCAAAATACTCCACTGCAGAGGCAACTAAGCTTAGAGACATTTGTACCGCCCGTCTCGGACCTGCTCGCTCTCATCACTTACGTGAGGGTACAGACGACGAATGACTAGTCATCGTGGGCATAGCTGAAGGACATATTGCGCGCAGTCGGATGCCAGATTTTCTACGATCCGTCCGTGATAGTGGGGAACGTCTCCGGCTCTACAGCACCATCCAGGCGCAGGTCAGAGGGCAATTTGTTCTTACTATTGGCAGAGGTCTTTCCATACCGATCAGCCGACAGACTTCTAATGGTATCACGGCGATGATACCCGAATCCGCTGAGCTTCTACGGGTCAGTATGACGGATGTCCACCGCTTACTCGAACTAACGAAGGCCATCAGCTGTAGTCGCTCATCCCGAACGCTTCACTTCTAAGTTTTCTCTAGGGAAATAGCAAAAAGTCTGCAGTGTTTTCGAACACCCTTCCAGGGACGAGTGTACACGTTAGAAAACGCTCATCAGCCGGTGCGGGGGGCAGTTTGGCAGAATCAGCGAGGCCCAGATGGTCGTTCGGGCCATTCACGTACTGAGTACACAATTTTCCTGCAGAACGTGACACGATTTAACGAGATTGGACGCATAGCGGCTTACTTTAGGTCCAAAATCACGACTGATTTTGAATTCGAAGATATGGACACTAGCACTGCAAACTCCCGGACGTCGACAGTATGGAAAGTTACCTTCTCTCTGGCGGGGTGACCAACGTTTTTTAGGGATAGTATGGCTTCTATGGTTTGAAACCCCGATCATCATTAAGCACCCAAACGTGGTTCGAAGCCTTAGATGTCTACAGTGCGGCACTATAGACCACCCTGCCGCCAGGTGCCAATAACGGATGCGCAACCTAAGGGCCAAGATCTATCGAAGTCACAGAGGCTGAGCTTCAAGACGTCAAAAACTTGACTAAACCATATCTTAGCCCGGAGGAGATGCGGAAGATGGCTAGCAAACGGCTACAACTTCAGAGGGCAGCAGACGAGGCGGCTCAGGCAGCTATTACACCGGCGGCAGTCGGTACAGCTCCCCCACGGCCGCCTCCGACAGTGAAGCCCCAGCGCACTGGGGTGCCCATTCAGCCCGTTTACACTGCCATCCTCACGTAAGCAGGCTCTTCGGATCCTAAACCGAAATCTTGGCCGGAGCAGCCTTGGCTGATGCGTTTTCTCCGAAGTGGACGGCGTCTGTGGCCCTCACGCAAGCCACCGGTAAAGACCGAAAGCCCCAGCTCGGGCGGTTATCACGTCCTACAAGATTCGGAGCCGGAGCTGGAGCGGAATAGTGCGGGGTCCGCTCAAGCTCCTCGCACAGACGTTTGCACTGACGACCCTCCGATTACACCGAAGCTTCACCTAAAAATGGCTCCGAACGTCACGCTGGCCGGTCCTCACCTATTGTCAGATGATCGACTCCGTCAACAAGACTCTAAACAAAGAGGGATAGCTCCCAAGATCTAAGGACCGACGGTTTTAGCCAAAAACGTCTCGAACGCAAAACCTGTGAGAGGCTGGTTAAACAACAACAGAAAGGACGTTGCACTTCGATCCCGATGGATCCTCGTCCATAGACCGGAACAATTCATTTGAAAGATGTAATGAGTATCCTGGGCTTACGGGAAGTGCCCCCCCCCCAGCCACTAAAAATTGTTTGGCGATGGCGATCGCTTAAGCCGTCGCAATTTCTCCTTAGACGCACCAATCAAGGCCCTGTAGCCTCTCATTGACAGCGCTAAGCGCGGTATCATGTACGCTTAGCTGCTGAATCCAAAAGGTTAGATTTTAAACGACCTGAGGGTCAATACGTTAAAAAATGTTGGACGCGGGTGGCAGAAAATAACCAGAGAGGAGTCGGCAACTCAACTGCGGTAGTTTTCAACAGACTATGCAGAAACCCCGTCTGAAAGAGAGACCATAGTTTCGTAAACTTGCTGGGTAGGTAGTGACACACTCGTAATGGCCGCTACCTCCTGCAGCATGATGTCTTTGTCATCCACTTGGAGTATGAGAGCGAGCAGTGGAGCTGTCTAAGATATCACCCGACAAAGGTGCAGTTGCACGGCACGGCCAAGGAATACCCTCTATCTATCATGGCTTGCTTTGATTATCTGCAAGCGGCTAAAATTGAGGTAACAGACACATTGCCGTTGGTTCTCCGTTTCTATAGGCGCCATTATTTGGCATTCTTACATACGGACAGCTCGGCAGACCTGACATCCCTGACGGATGACTTTAACGGCCGGAGCGCAGAGCAGTCACAGCATTCAAAGCAACCTGCGGTAGCTGACGCTACAAAATTGGCACTACATGTGCAGGCTTCATCTAGTACTGAACAGGATATAGCCCCTTTAACTTGCTCTAGCCACACAACCTCGCTTCTAGTTCACTCTGGCCAGGGAGATAACATTCATGCATTGGTATTGCGTTCTTAGTAGACGACTTCGGTTCCCGAGGGGTTCAGGGATGACTACATGGCAGTGAATGTGTTGGCGCAAAAACGAGACCTCGTCACCTCGCAGTCAGAAGCGGTTTATATGGATGATGACAATTGCACCAGCTCCCTGGGGGCATCTAAGCAAAAAAATGGCAGAGTCACGGTTAGTCCTCAACTGTCCGTGATAGCTTCTCCAGACGGACGGATTGATCGTGAGGAGTGGCCAGCAGTTTGGTGTGCCTCAGGGTCGAAACGGCCGGTCACACTTGAGACGTCTTGCCCTTTAGTTCCTAATGGAACGGAGGCGTGGCTAAAAACTGTGTGAATGGAGCCGAATCTTTTGCTTCATCACCTGCGACGCTTTGTCTTTCCGGATGAATTACTAGCCAGCTTAGCCGATCGGATTCTTGTGCAGTGGACATCGAAGTGGCGACATGAGTGCCTGCTATCGCGTCTTCAAGCGTACCGTCTTAGGACGAAGGATGCCACCACCTCATAGTGGTCAAATCAATGGATTTACTCGCGCGCAGTGGAGTCAACCCTTTTCTTCTCTCGCTCCCCTTATTGACAACGGGGATGAATGGAGGAAACTAGGAGACTGTAACTACGCCAAAGATGAAATCTTAAGGCTCTATAAACCGCAACAACGAATCCGTTTAAGTCACCATCTACTTTGCGCTGATTTGTTTGACAAGGAGATACGTGCATTGACGGGGGATGACGTACATACGCTCACTATCCCCGATATACTACGCTATCATGTTCACCTGATACGACGAAACTGTCACTATTAAGGGGCATATTACTCATCGGATGATCCCCGGGTGAACTGGGGAACACTCGTACATTTTTTCTCTACATCGTTGGCAACTGCGGAGGCGCAGTTCCTTCTTGAATACTGAGGGAAGCTCACGGCTGCACCTCTTCTCCTGTCTTCGTAGTCATTCATTGAAAGAAGTCGACGTTTGTGGACGTGCTTGCTTGCTTCATAATTGGGCTCATTCCCATGACACCAAAAAGGAAAAAAAATAGCGACGGGGTTGGTGATGAGGTGATAATAACCCAAAAAAACGTGCGAGGTTCAAAGAAAGCACTCGTGCTTGTTGGACGGCGGCGTGGCGTCGACAGACTTCTGACGAAAGCGCGTTAGCGTGGTGAATCCAAGAAACGCACGTCCAAGCAGTGGAGGAGGTAGCTCAACTGAGTGCCCAATGGGCTCGCTTGTGAGGTCAGCACCTAATGTCCGATGCTTCTACATTTTCGTACTATATTACGGGCTCGCTCATACTCGACATCATCGATTAATATGGGCGGTCGCAGATGAGGTATCAAATGCGTCCGTTCGCAGAACACTTTCCCGACTGGCATTTAAATTCCACAAACGTCAGCTCGATGTGGCATTACGGCCACTGATGCAGCGTCTGGAAGCTGCCACCAGAACAAACTAATGGCAGCGAGCCGTAGCGCATCAGCGACCTTCGCAAGTGTGGGACCATGCACACGGGCTCACAAATAACCGGGTGCGGACTTGCTAACGAATATCAACCAAGCAACTCAACCTCTACCATGAGAATCGCAACGGAGACATCAAGCATGTCGAGGGGTTTAAGAAACACTGGCCCACATATTCTGGGATTGCCCGAAGGCGCGTTCGTGTTGGGCAAAATGAATTGGTCATTGGACCGCTAAAACTGTGGCAGACCTTTCTGTTACTTGTCAATTTCTAGGCAGTGCTAATCGTCAAGCCTTATCTATCTCACCAAGGCTGAGACACCGGTTGCAAAAATGCAGCGTCAGGGGTATGCCTCTGGAAACGGATTTGGCCTCTCATGAGTGCCATGTGCCTTATGGCAGGAGCGTAATGATGCGGTTTTCAGGGGAGTGCTGACCACGGCATTGCATAGTGTCACCCGTTTTTTGGGAGACAGGGATCGTGAATTCCTAGCGCTGGCTTAACGTGAACATCGAGGTATCGGTACCGTCGTCCAAGGGTCTCTCCTGTATGCCGGAATCGAAATTATTACCCAAGCACCCCGAGATATCGGGGCTTCTACGAGTCATATTCATTATCTCTTCCGGATCCGGACTTGATTACCTGGCTCAAACGTTTTCAGACATTATGTACATGATCACATGTTATTAGACCGTCATAAAATATCTATCTCTCACTATCTGTCTTTGCTGACTCTCTCCCGCACAGCTTCTCTACTGTCTCTCTCCCGCACAGCTTCTCCACCCTTTCCGTCAGGTGCCGTTTCTCGTCTTCCAACACTCCTCCCGCGGCACCGCACTAAACGCAATCCCATAATCTCGCGTAGGTTGGCGACTCTTGGCGCCGGGACATTTTCTGTCAATAGATCCGCGATCATCTCGTTGGTCGCGATTTACTCGGACTTCACGATGCCCTTGGAGCTCGTGTCGCAAACAGCTTCATTTTCACTTCGACGTGCTTCTGTGCGCTCGACGCGGCTTCGTTGACATGCAGCTTAATTGTCCTCCATCCTCTGTTTTGGCAACTTCACACTCACGTTCATCTTACGCAGTAGATTCTTTACGCACAGGAGCTCCTTCGCAACAACAGCTGCTATTACGAACTCGGCTTCCGCAGTTGATAGCGCGACTGAGGACGGTTGCTTAATTTGTCATCCGACGGGCATTCCATCGACGAGCAGCACCGAACCGCTGACCGACTTTCGCGTGGCTTTGTAGGCCGCATAATCCGCGTCGGTGTATCTAGTGAGTTTCACTTCATTTGCACTCGACGCGCCGCCCATGTGCAGATTCGGTGCAGCCGTCTAGGGAGGTACATCATCACTCGAAGCGCGAGCTTCATGTCGTGGTCGCTGGTCGCGTGGCTGCGGCGTGTCGCGCAGTAAACCGCGTATGTGATGTCAAGTCGACTGCATCGTGCAACCACGGCAGACTCCCGAAAAGGCTCTGGAAACTCTTAATTGTCGGTCGTTCTGCAGTGCCGGCTCCCCGCGCGGGAAGCGGCTGCGCGTCGGTGCTCTCTGACTCGATCGACACTTCGTCAATTACTGGTGAGCGCACTGCGATCGCCTATCTTAGATAGTTCTTGTGAAGCAGTTTGTTGTTTATTTGCTCGTGGTCGACGATGTACCCGTGCAAGTCTTCGTACTCGATGCGCATGCCCAGAAAAATCTCGATGCTCCCGAGGCACTTGAGCTTCAGGATCTGCATCGCCGCGCCAAAGGCGTCAAGCAGCTCGTCGCTCGTTGCGTTTTGCAAGCAGGTCGTCGACATACACTTCCACTACTGTCGTTCATTGGGCTGTTGTCTTCACGTATACACATACTTCCGTGGCTGGCTGTGAGAAACCGTCGTCATTAATCGTTTTTAAGTAATTGGTTCCACAGTCGGCCGGCCTGCTTGAGCCCTTAACGTCTTTTGATGAGCCGTAGGCGCGTCTCACCGGCGTTTTCGCCACGTTAAACTTCCGCAGCTGATCGTCACTTATCGTTATTCCTTCTAGAACGCGCTTGCAAATCTCGATCTCCGTGGAGGCCTTCGGTAGGCGCTGGGGATGTCAAAGTGTCGCGCGCACGTTCCAGAGCCGGGCAACCGCGAGAATAATCTTGCCGCCAGTCAAGTCCAAGACAGCTGTAAATGCTAGGTTGTAGTCTCGTCCAAGCACTTGATCGTCGCCTTCTGCTACAAGGCTTGCCTTGTAGCGTTCGATGGACCCGCTGCCGTTCATCTTCTTTTCGAAAACCCACTTGTTGCGGATCACGTGCATGTGCTTCTCGCGTTTAATCACCTGCCATGTGTTATTTTTTTCCAGCAAGGCGATCTTGTCGTCCATCGCCTGGGCCGAGAGGTGCGCGTCTGGAAGTGCGCGCGACGCCTTGTACGTCTTCGGGTCGGGCAAGTTTGTGTACTGCTCCGCCCCCGCCCCTAATGCGGACACCACAAATGATTGAAACAGCGTCACTGCGGCAACTGGCTCGCGCGGTCCGCGTCGCACTGGATCTAATGCATTGTTGGCTGCCTTCTGCTTTGCCGACTTCGTTCTCACACGTCCAGACCTGCGTGGAAGACTTTTGCTATCGTCATCATCTGCATCTATTGCTTTTTCCTCTACGCCTGTGTGGTCCTAGGCCTTAGCTTGTCCGTTCGCTTAAGACTTCGACTTTAAATCCTTGTCGCGTTTTGCGCGCGTTTGTTTCTGCGTCAGAGCCGTCGATGTCGGTTTCGACGCGGTTCGTGCGGCAGCTCGTTTGTCTGAGCGCTCGCCGTTCGACTCCTTCCGTCGTCTACTTCCTTCTCGTTCATCTGCTAGATGTTAGAGCTAGTCGTCAGCTTCTGACTCGATCGCCTGCCTCAGTTGCTTGTTGGAGTCTATCGGCCGGGATTCGATTAGGCACACGTGTCGAGTGGACACCACGACCTTCTTTCTGGGAATCAGTACCTTGTACCCCTCGGTTTCGTCGTTTTTTTCGACAAACATCCCTGGCGCTCCACGCTTTTTTTAGAGATACGTTTAATGGGTTCTGATACACTTTGCAAAGCGAGCCGAACACCACCATGTCCACGACAATCACTGGCTTCTTCTTGAGCAGCTCCAAAGGCTATTTGCGGCCTGGATCGGCGCGAGTCAGCATCCTGTTCACCACGTACGCCGCGTATTCTGTGGCGTATCCCCAGTAGCTAAGCGGAAAGCCACAACCGAAGAGCATGCACCGAACCGTATTAACAACGGTCCGGTGCATGCTCTCGGCCTTTCCGTTCGATGCCGACGTGTTGCGCTCAGTGATTTGCCTGCCTATGCCCGTCTGCTGACGGAAGAGATTGAGGTTTCGGTACTCGCCTCCTCCTTCCGTCCGTATCACGTAAACTCGCACGTTAAATTGTCTTTAAATGAAGACCATAAAGTGCTGGAACTTTCGTGCGGCTTCGTCCTTGGACTTTGCGACGACCACACGCACGTAGTTGGATTTGTGGTCGATAAAATTAATTAAGTGTCGGTTTATCCGCTTGTAAATGGGCGTCATGGGGCCTATAAGGTCACTGCAAATGACCCCACCGACCACGTCAATCGGCTCGTTAAGACCGCTATTCTTCTTTGGCTGTGCCGACTTGGACTGTTTGTCCTCGGAGCATGTCAAGCAATTCTCTCTCACTTTGTCTGTGAGCTCGAGCCCGTTTGCTGGATTCTCGACAAGTCGCTTAATGTCTTTGTAACTAAGGTGTCCAAAGCTCCTGTGGAAGCTCATCAAGCTTCCTGTCTGCACTGTTGCCTCTCGAGGCTGCGACTCGCCGATCGCCTGCATGATCTCGTCCTTGAACCCGATTGCTCGTTGCTTCACGTGCCCATGGTCGACGAAAAGGACCTTCTGTTAGAGGTGGAAGTACATCACGACGTCGTCGTCGATCATCGCTGCGTGCCTGTTGTTCTTGCCGGCGATGTTGCAGCCCTGTAGCATGAGTGTGCCGAGGGAGATGAGGTTAATGGCCAGCTTCGGCGCGTGGTTGACATTACGCAGCTCAATCCAGTGCGTCTCGCCGTCCACCTTCTCACGCAGTCGTGCTTGCTGCGTCGCGTCACCCGCAGCGTACCTTTGTCAGGCAGCGTCACGCTATTGAGGTCGTCGCACTCATCCCAATCATACAGCATGCTGCTGTGTTTGACTAGGTGGGTGCTGGCGCCGGAGTCGACAATGGAGTCCTCCTCCGTTAAGCAACCTGCTATGATTCCAGCAAGCGCCCATCGAGGCGTCTCTTCGTCGTCCTCGTTCTTTGGACGACTGGGACACGTGCGCGCGATGTGCCCGACTGTGCTACAGATGTTGCAAACCCTGGTGTCTGTGCGTGCGGTGGCGGTCGCTGCTGCCACTGCAGCTTTAACTGACCGAGGCGCCCGTTTCTCATTGTCCTCAGAAGTTTGCGCCCACTGTATGATTTCAAGCGCGTGAATCACGAACTCGGTGCGCTTTCGGTCGTACTGGCTTGCGAGGACAGGTTGCAGCTCTAGGCTGGCATGCAAAACGAGGCTTTTCGGTAGTAACGACGCCGACGCACCCGAGGCGTGCCTCACCGCCATAAGGTAGAGGTAGTGTGCATACTAGGTGTCGCTGCTGCTTTAAAGCTTGTTAGAGAACTCGGAAACTTGTGCGCTGGTGAAGCTGCGCAAGAAGGTTAATTGTATCTCCTTCATCGCGTAGGAAAGCGTTCTTTCCGTGTCTCACCACTCGTCCCTGATTCCATGGAAGAACTCTTCAGCCTCTCCTCGGAGACACGAGCAAAGCTTGCCGATTGTAAACTTCTCTGGCCACGCGTAGCCGCACGCCTCTTAATCCTTCGAGCTCTTCCCTTAACGCGCGGCCCCAGTGCTTGAACCCGCCGCCCACGCCCTTGTGAAGCTCCTTGCCGATGAACACGCGAAAGTCGAGCTTTGCATCCTTTGCCAAAGGCACAGTAGTCGATCCGCTGACGAGCGCTCCTCCAGTCAGCACAAATACGCCTGGCTGCTGCAGAGTCGCTTGAGCGGCTGCGCGGTTCATCTCATCAATCTCCACTGCTTCGCGTTCAACCACTTCGCGTGCCGCTGTCTCGCATGCTGTAGCTTCGTGCGTCGCTCTCATATTAGCTCGTTCTTCCGCCTCACCCACGCGACGCTCGACGTCTGCAGCGTTGTGCTGCGCTTAATGGCACGCGACCCGCATATGCTTGGTCCAGGCCGACACGTCTGGCTTCTTCTCCAAGCCTCGCCTCGCGCGTCTGCTGCTTCTCTTTCATGCGCCGCGCTTGATCCGCTTGCGCCATTTCACGTGCGCGATGCGCTTCTCCTGCCGCTCTCACTTGCTCGGCAAGCTCGATCTCTCGCTCGCGTTGCCGGTTCTTCTCTGTTAAAGATATCTTCCTTGTGCCAAAAGAGAATCTTTTCTCTTTCTTGAGCTGCGCGGGTCTGATGGTTGTGTTGTAGCGCAAGCGCTTCTCACTCCGATTGCAGACGTGGTTGAAATTGCGCGACTTCGCGCTATTGAGCTTCCAGCTGCGCCGCCAGCGGTTCTCTTTGTTGCCTCTGGAGCTCTGCTTCGCTCAGCAGGTGTTGTGTGACCTGGGGTAGTTGTCCGTGCACAGCTTGAATATCAGCTCGCTGCTTTGCTTGCTGTGTCTTATGTGCTTCTGCCACTGCTCGCAGCTGCATGCCTTGGGCTTCTGCGGCGACTCGCAGGCCTTCACGCGCACCCGCAATTTTCGGAAGTGCTGCTGCTGCTGCACTAGTCGCAGCGCTCTTTTTTCCGTCCCGACGCTCGCGCTGCGTACTCTAGACTCAGTCCCAAAGATGTCGTGGAGGTCGTCAACCTCCACATGTCTCACGTGCGTCATTTGCATGGACGGGGATCTGTACGTTTCTGCTGCTCTCGTCGTTGGCACCAGGGCTCTTGTCTCGGTCCTGACTGGCCCAAACGTTGTTCCTGTCGGTGCCAGCAGAGTCAGTCGTTCTGTTTCGAGCTCCTCGAGTCGTGCTTCCATTGTATCTTGTTGTTCCATGACAAGCGCGAGCTCGTTCGCATGTATTTTCCGCTGTTGTCGCCTGATCCAGCCGGACGTGTCTGCGCGACCTCTTGCGTGTTGCGACGCCTCGCCATCGATGCCGCCGCTGCGCGTTGTACGGTGCTCGCGTTCTCGACGCCCCTACTTAGGTCCGCAACCTTTTGGCTTTGTATCCGCTAGAAAAGGGAGAAACGAGTCGATGTAGAAGTAGATTTTGTGAGAATCTTACGTGCACAATTCAATTTTTGCAGACTGTAATGTGTAGTTAAAATTCTCACAAAATCTACTTCTGATATCATTACACACTGCGTACAGGAGCCCTTCACTATCTCAGGAGTTCTGCAAGCTGCAAACTGCACGCTGTCTTTGCTGTCTCTCTACTGCACAGTTTCTCAACTGTCTCTCTCCTGCACAGCTTCTCTACTGTCTCTCTCCCGCACAGCTTCTTCATTATTCCCGTCAGGTGCCATGCCTCTTCTATTAACAATAGAACCGCGTCGGGTGACTGCCACATACATGCTCGCTGCCATACCTGACGCAGCATCTCGAGCCGTTTGTTTAAATGAAATATAAACAAACGGCGCTTAACCAACGTTTAGCGTCGTCACAAGAAGGTCGTATTTAGTGTCCACCACAGCAACTGACTCGTCAGCACAGTCATGAATGCATCCCACGCGACGTAAAGACCATCTCCCCTCTCTCTCTCTCTCTCTGACTAAGGCTCTGCACAACTAACGCACTCTGTCTCTCCCCCCTCTCTCTCTTTGTCTTTCTCTGTATCTGTCTCTGTCGCTCTCTTTTGTCCATCTGTCTAGCAAGTTTCGTCACGTGGAGAGCACGCGACTCGCCTCTGCGTCCAGAGTCTTGACGCACTTGCCCGTGTCTATTCCAAGTGCCAGTTCTGAACGTCCCGCTCTTGCAGCGACTTCCGCTCACTTGGCATTTGTTCAGTCGGAAGATACTCATGGCGGCTCAATCCAAGTGGAAGCTCTGAGTGGGATGGACGCAGCTGAAACAGAGAGTCAGAAGTCTACAGAGACGCGGCCGCTGTCGTGCGCGCACTCAAGACGAGACGCGTGACGACAGATGTGGCTTTCTCGCGTTATCGGGAAGACCTGTTGCTCTCTGCTGGCAATGTTGTGGCGACGGTGAAGCTCTGGCGAGTGGGGTCACCGGGTGAGAGGATGGAGAGCTTGTGACGCCTGTGACGGTGTTTTCTCATGATACAGCGGGCAGTGTAGTAGGTATCATGCCGCATCCGACGGCTGAGTCGGTGTAGGCCACGTACTCGAGACGAGGAGTGCTGAGACTGTATGAAGTGCATGCTTCGACGATGAGCTTAGAGAGAGCAGTGGGACAAGGCGCTTCGTTGACGTCTGCAGACTGGACTTGGGATGGTCGAGCTGTGATAGCGGCAACGAATGACCCAGCTGTGAGGATGGTGGACACGCGTGAGCATTTGACGTCGACGGTCGAAGTACCAAAGGCACAATCAGGTACACGACCCGTAAGTGTTCACTAGTGTGGACGGACGCAGCATTTTGTCACGTGTGGAAGCGATACGCTGATGCAGGACCGAGAGCTCAAGTTAGGGGACCCTCGATTCATGGCCAAGTGCTTACATCGAGAAAGAGTGGATGCAGGAGGTGGTGACCAGTTGTTTCCGCTCTACGATCCTGATATGGACCTCTTGTTTGCGCTAGGCAAGAGAAGTTGCAGTGCCAGAATGTTTGAGGTAGACGTGACGCGCGTCCCTTATGTGCATGCACTAAACTGCCGCACATCGCGCGACTCGACACTTGCAGCGCTTGCAGCGACGCTTCTGTCCAAGTCAGTGTGTGATACGAATGTGTGTGAAGCTGCCCGCGTGTTGAATCTCAGTACGAGCGAAACGAGTGGTGGCGTGAGCTGCGAAGTCATCAGCTACCGAGCTCCTCGCAACGAGGAGACGTGTACGTTCCAAAGCGACTTGTATCCCGACTTGTTGTCAAAAGAAGCTGCAATAAAGTCCGAGGAGTGGATACGGGGGCAAAATGCTGATCCTTAGCTGGGGAGACCGTGACACCAACGGTAAAGGGTGCCGATGATGTGTTGAAAAGTACTTGGTAGCCTCCATTGCGTAATTTTTCCCCTTCTTCGGCCGCTTGCGAGACCCCCAGGACTTGGACTGTGCGACCGCCGAAACGGCGACACGTGGCGCGGAGTACGCCTCTTTTTTAAGAACAAACAAGAGGTCCATATCAGGATCGTAGAGCGGAAACAACTGGCCACCACCTCCTGCATCCACTCTTTCTCGATGTAAGCACTTGGCCATGAATCGAGGGTCCCCTAACTTGAGCTCTCGGTCCTGCATCAGCGTATCGCTTCCACACGTGACAAAATGCTGCGTCCGTCCACACCAGTGAACACTTACGGGTCGTGTACCTGATTGTGCCTTTGGTACTTCGACCGTCGACGTCAAATGCTCACGCGTGTCCACCATTCTCACAGCTGGGTCATTCGTTGCCGCTATCACAGCTCGACCATCCCAAGTCCAGTCTGCAGACGTCAACGAAGCGCCTTGTCCCACTGCTCTCTCTAAGCTCATCGTCGAAGCATGCACTTCATACAGTCTCAGCACTCCTCGTCTCGAGTACGTGGCCTACACCGACTCAGCCGTCGGATGCGGCATGATACCTACTACACTGCCCGCTGTATCATGAGAAAACACCGTCACAGGCGTCACAAGCTCTCCATCCTCTCACCCGGTGACCCCACTCGCCAGAGCTTCACCGTCGCCACAACATTGCCAGCAGAGAGCAACAGGTCTTCCCGATAACGCGAGAAAGCCACATCTGTCGTCACGCGTCTCGTCTTGAGTGCGCGCACGACAGCGGCCGCGTCTCTGTAGACTTCTGACTCTCTGTTTCAGCTGCGTCCATCCCACTCAGAGCTTCCACTTGGATTGAGCCGCCATGAGTATCTTCCGACTGAACAAATGCCAAGTGAGCGGAAGTCGCTGCAAGAGCGGGACGTTCAGAACTGGCACTTGGAATAGACACGGGCAAGTGCGTCAAGACTCTGGACGCAGAGGCGAGTCGCGTGCTCTCCACGTGACGAAACTTGCTAGACAAATGGACAAAAGAGAGCGACAGAGACAGAGACAGAGAAAGACAAAGAGAGAGAGGGGGGAGAGACAGAGTGCGTTAGTTATGCAGAGCCTTAGTCAGGGAGAGAGAGAGAGAGAGAGAGAGAGAGAGAGGGGAGATGGTCTTTACGTCGCGTGGGATGCATTCATGACTGTGCTGACGAGTCATGTAACGGGGCACCCTCAAGCTTGTACTGATGACAGTACAAGCTACTTATTCTGACGACAGAATAAGGCGGTGCCGCGTAAGTTCACGTACACTGTTACGTGCAGAGGAAGACGGTAAGAAGAAGCGAGTACTTGATTAAAGTAAAAAGTAGAACTGTATTCGTCATAGTTAATGTCTGTTCATAAATCACTATTTATCCTCATCTAACTATGTCTGAATACAAATGTGTATTCCAACTATCTGCTCACCACTCATTGTGTGCGTCTCTCGTGGCGCGTCTTCGTTGGTTGAAATAATCGCCTGTATCAACCAATAAGGAACTGCTCATAAGTGCTACAGAATATTTGTCCTGATGACAACATTCCGAGAATATAACTCTTATAGTTATATTCTGTCAACAATTTCTAATAAATTGTTATGTAACGATTCACCCCGTTACATCACCCCCCGTAACCATTAGTCACTTTATTGACTGATTGACTAATTGGATACTCGTCCCAAATCATTTGGGACAGGGTTTGCACTTGTTGGTCCGAGTCCACAGTCCATCAGTTTCATCGCATGGTTAAAAAGTCCATGCGGTGCGCGAACAAGGCCGCTAAGAGCACGTCTGCACGTCTCTGTGCGGACGCCGAAGCAGAAACCGCAGCAACTTATGTGTCATCGGTTGCTAAAGCGTCTCAGTCTGTATCACCTGGTGGTGCAGACGCTCGTCATGAAGACACTCATGTCTTCACAGAGCATGAGCTCGGTATCTCATACTCTCTTGATACGGAAGATGTAACGGGGTGAATCGTTACATAACAATTTATAAGAAATTGTTAATAGAATATAACTATAAGAGTTATATTCTCAGAATATTGTCATAAGGACAAATATTCTGTAGCACTTACAAATAGTCCCTAATTGGTTGATATAGGCCATTATTTCAACCAACGAAGACGCGCCACGACAGACGCACGCAATGAGTGGTGAGCAGATAACTGATTTACACATTTGTATTTAGACATAGTTAGATGAAGATAAATAGTGATTTATTGCAGACATTAACTATTATAAATACAGTTCTACTTTTTACTCTAACCAAGTACTCGCTTCTTCTTACCGTCTTCCTCTGCACGTACTAGTGTACGTGAAGTTACGAGGCACCGCCTTATTCTGTTATCAGACTAAGTAGCTTGCACTGTCACCAGTACAAGCTTCAGGGTGCCCCGTTACACCTGGTAGCACTTCGTAGTCCGTCCAAGGACCACGTTCACATCTAACATGAATATGTTGGATGATGAAGATGACCAAAGCTTTCACGCTACGCGTGACGGCTACTCCCATTTGAGCGATGTCGGATGGGATGCGGTTGAACGAATGGGTTCGTCCATAGACATCCATGCTGATAGCGTCATGCTAGAGGCTCTCAATAGAGATGACCAACATGCTACTATCGCCAAGTTCGTTCAAAATGAACTTGACGCAGAACGCGAGAAAGTAGCCTTGCTTCACCAACAAGGTTCTCAACAAGCAGAGTTGTTGAGAGAACAGGGTGCTCAACAGTTTGAACTGTTGAGACAGCAGCAGGCTGCTGCTGGCGGGTCGATGCACTCGCGTCGACCCGAGACTTTGAAGATTGACATCTCAAAGTATAGGGGGGTCGAAGAAGACTCCCTCTTGAGATGGTTCGTCGAATTAGACGACGCCATAAGGGCGCGTCGCATCGACGATGGGGAAATGCAAGCTGCATTTGCCCAGTCAAATCTGGCAGGAAGTGCCAAGACTTGGGCTTTGGGGCTCAAGTTGCACGACCCATATGTGTTTGGGTCGTTGGAAGTCTTCAAGTCGCGGCTTAGACAAACGTTTGAACCGCCTAGAGCTGAGTTCAGGGCTCGAACCGAACTCTTGAAGCTCAAGCAGGGTAAGCGTGATGTGCACGCTTACGCTCAACACATACGACATCTTACGAGTTGTATAAGTTCCAATCCAGTGGATGAACACACGTTGGTTTCGGTGTTCATGCAGGGTCTTGCGGATGGTCCCGTCAAGACTCACCTGTTCCGGCTTGAACTAGATTCACTAGAACAAGCCATTTCCATTGCGGAGCAGGAAGACTTCAGTCTGAGACAGGCTCGCGCCAGCTCGACATCATATCGTCAACCGAGACGATATGACAACGGAGGTCCAGAGCCGATGGAACTCTGTTATGTAGAGAGCGAGAAGGTTCGCTCTACAGGCTACAAGAAGTTGCAGAGATGCAACAGATGTCAGAAGACAGGACACTACGCTTACGAGTGTAGTGCCCCTCGTCCAGTGTCTCGCGACACTGGGCGTAGTGACCGTCCACCCATGAGAAAGGGGCAGGGACGAGGGTCCGCAGTTGGTGCAAAGACGCAACAACGGGATGGACCGTCAAAAAACGGACAGGATCAGTAGGTGCGGAGCACCCTACTGATCCAGCAACGTCAAGAGAATTTGTAGGCCTCTTGATGAAGGTTGCTCCCAACACACAGACGTTGTGCGTTGCTGCTCTAGGTAATGAGATCTCACTCATTACCTTGAAACTCGAAGTGACGAATAAGTTGTCCCTTCGAGCTCTAGTCGATTGTGGGGCGTCCAACAATTTTGTGCAACGCCAATCGCTAGAAGATGGTCACTTTAAGCTCAGTGAATGTGACACAACTCCTACGAGGATGACGGTACGTCTTGCGACAGGCGCATCCGTAACCGTCATGAAGCGTATAGTGAAGATTCGCTATTCGCTAGAAGATACCCAATATGACGATGACTTTATCGTATTGGATTTGGATGACAAATTTGATGTCATCCTTGGAATACCGTGGCTCAGAAGGTACGAACCACGGGTAAACTGGCAACATCGGACAGTAACGATGCCTGCCGCTTGTTCATCAGATGGCCATCTGATGAACGTTTTAGAGCGTCCACAAGCGTGTGGATGTACTACGAGTGAGTGCGATGGCCTCACTTGTGGTACGGTCGTTAGTACGACTGCACAAAACCTTAGTGTACCAAACGGTTACACTTCGGAGCAAAGTTCCGGCGGCTGTGAGGAAACACAGGCTGCGCCGAAGGTCCACCACTCGAATAAGTCGGGTGGACTGGGACAAAGATGTATCCCTAGCGGGGAACATCTAGAAGAGAAACAATCGATCGCTCAGGTTAAGCGAAACGATAATCCTAGATCGACTGGAGAGTCTTTCGTAGAGGATCTCGCTGTGGTTGCGCAACCCCAGCTAGAGGAAGTAAAGGGAATAAGTCCCAAGATTACAAATACGGCGGAACTAAGTTCCCCGAAACCCGCGGGAATAAGTCCCCGGGAAGACGAAGGAATAAGTCCTTCGAAGCCTGAGGGAATAAGTCCCCAGGAAATGACAGAGACATTGAATGTCATAGTCAATAACGGATCATGTGTAGGCGCTTATACACTTGATCTGATTGCGCCTCCGAAGTTAACTTCGGAGATCACTCAGTTGCCAACGCTCGAACATAAAAGGTTCTTGCGTGATCTGCGTAGTGGCAAAGTCAAGCAGATCTGCATACTCGTCGCTGACGACGAGTGTGTAACCGACATAAGGTCAGCAACAGTGTTTACTGAGAACGAGAGAGTTCTCAGTAGTTCATCTATGGACGAGAGTGTCCTAGATGAAAAGACACGAATTGAGCGATATGAGTCCCAATCATGGGAATCGCTCAAGGAAAATCCTCTCTATGAAGATTTGGTTGAATTCAAGGATGTATTCCCTGAAACTGTTCCGTGCGAATCACCGAAGGATAAAGGTATTCGACACGAGGTCGAGCTTAAACCAGGCTCGAAGTACTGTGTCATGAAGCAGTGGCCACTGCCCCGTGAACAAGTACTTGCGATCGACAAGTTCTTTGCCGATCGATTAGCAGCGGGCCATGTGAGGGAATCAACTTCCCCACATAGCTCTCCGACCTTCTGTGTGCAAAAAGCAACAGGAGGGTGGCGGATAGTGCACGCGTTCAACAGATTAAACGCTGTAACGGTACCGGCTCAGACGCCGATACCGAGGAAGGACGTAATCATTGATGGTATGTCAAAGAGTAACCATCTTTTCGTCCATGGATTTGATGGATGGCTTCTATCAAATCCTAATGCGGGAACGGGATATACCCTATACCGCAGTGAGCACGCCTAGCGGCATGCTCTGGGAATGGCTAGTAATGCCACAAGGGCTCAGTAATGCCCCTGCCACGTTCAACAGGTGTGTATCACATCTGTTGAGGCCAGTACGAGACTTCGCGCCGAGTTATTTCGATGACGTATTCATCCATAGTCGAGCTATGGATGGAAAGTCGGACGTTGAGGTTCACAGGTACCACGTCCGACAAGTTCTTACAATCATGCGAAAGCACCAATTGTATGCAAACCTCAAGAAGTGTATATTTGCAGCAAGCGAAATACCACTTCTTGGGTGCATCGTTGGTAAGAACGGTGTACGTCCTGATCCCGAAAAGATCAAGGCGATCACCGACTGGCCTGTGCCGGTCGATGTCAAAGGTCTTTGAAAATTCCTTGGGCTAGCGGCGTATTTGCATAAGTATTCACGCAATTACGCCGAGATGACTGTACACCTCTCTCGTTTGTTGAAAAAGAACGAGAGGTGGTCATGGAATGCTGAACATCAGCGCTCCTTTGAGGGTATCAAGCAGAGCTTGATACAATCCTCAGTCCTAGCAATTGCCGATCAGGACAGGCCATTTCATGTGGTCTGTGATGCCAGCGATTTCGCAATCGGCTGTGCATTAATGCAGTACGATCTTGAAGGCGTTGAACGCGTCGTCTGCTATCAGTCGCGTCAGCTGCAACCAGCTGAGCGAAACTATCCAGTGCATGACAAGGAACTCCTTGCCATGAAGTATGCACTCGCGAAGTTCAGAGTCTATCTATTAGGAGATAGACCCTTCATTGTTTACACTGACCATGCGTCATTACGCACGGCAGTGAACAGCCCGCACCTTTCACAACGAATGGCGCGGTGGTTGTCATTCTTTGCAGAATACAACTTTACGGTCGAGTACAAACCAGGGCGACTTAATGTCGTCGCTGATGCACTCTCACGTCGTCCCGAATTTGAAACAGTCGCGAAACCCAACAGTGAGACAGTCACTGTTGCGGTTATGACGTCCTCAGTTCCATCTACAATGCTGTATGATGATGTGAGGCGGGCATACGCCCAAGATGGTGAGATAGTGAAGTTGTTGTCACATCTCTCCCAACCATCCCGCGAATCGTTGAAACGATTGTCGCCTGCGTATCGATCTGCATCAGATCGATACACTACTCGTAACGGGTTACTGTATTATACAGCCGTTTCTGGTGACACACCACGTGTTGTCATTCCAGATGATACTGATCTGCGTTTGCGGATCATGTTCGAGTATCACGATGCTCCTATAGGAGGACATCGTGGCCGAGAGAAAACATATCTCACGGTAAGTCGAGACTTTTACTGGCCCCGCCAGTATCAGTTTGTGCGAGAGTATGTTCGCGCATGCGAAGTCTGCCAACGAGTGAAGTCAAGTCCTTCACTGCGTGCACCTTTACAGCCTCTACCGGTTCCGGCTGAGTGCTGGGAATCCATCTCAATGGATTTCGTCTTCGGGTTACCCAAAGACGCACGCGGGAATACGGGTATTCTCGTATTTGTTGACAGATTCAGCAAAATGGTACACCTTGTGGCTGTACCAGAGACAATCACGGCAAGTGGCTGTGCTTGTGTCTTTATTGACACCATCTTCCGACTTCATGGGTTGCCCCGTGAACTCGTATCAGACAGAGATCCACGATTCACTGCTGATTTCTGGCGTTCCGTGTTCAAATCACTCGGAAAGCGCTTATAGATGTCGACATCTGATCATTCAGAGTCAGATGGTCAGACGGAACGCGCCAATCGTGTCCTCGAAGAGATACTTCGAGGATACGTACACTCCTTTAAGAGTTGGAGTGAGTTCTTGCCAATTGTAGAGTTTGCCATTAACAACTCGGTGCATGCGTCCACGACACATACACCGTTTTACGTAAATGGCTTACGCCATCCGCGTGTACCCACCTTACTAGATTGTAACTCTGGTTTAAGGGGGGGAGGGACTCGAGCGAGCAAAAACCGATTTGGTTCACGCTCATCACGCTCTGACGAAGAGGTCATTGCGTTTGATGTCGATATCGATAACATCGATATCGAAGAAGATGATGCCAGTGAGAGTGCGGAAGCCCTCACTGAAGAAAAGGTTGATGTTGCTGCAGTGCACTCACAGCGCACTAAAGCTAACGAGTCATCAGATGAGTTCATACTGGCTCGTGAAACGGTAGTCCTTTTTGTGCAAGACTCCATCGCCGAAGCGGTGAATAAGCAAAAGCAAAACGCTGACAAGAATGGAAGGGCAAACACTCTTTATTAAATAAAGGTGACTTAGTCCTACTGTATACGGTTAATCCACCAAAGCATGTAGTGACTAACTTGGGTAGCAGTAAAAATCTACCCAAGTGCATCGGCCCATTTCGTGTATTGCATCGCCTAGGCCACGCATACACGATCGAACTGCCACGTAAGGTGCGAACGCATCCCACGTTTTACGTTGGTCGGCTTAAGCTGTACCATCAGTACGCTGCTTCTTCCGATGAAGAACGCCCTTGCGCTCAAGCATCTCGCAGAGAGCCTTGTGCTCCCGATGGTGGGCATCAACAAGGGTCTGAAGAGCAGTTATCTCATCCCGAGACCGATCAGCAATCCCACGAGCTACCCTTAGCTCTTCACGAAGAGATGTCAGAGATCTCTCGTTCTCAAGCTGAGCAAAGGCAAACTCAGCTCGATGCTTCAAGGCAGTCTCCGCCATTTGGAGACGCCTATTTCGCTCATGCTCGAGATCGTCGCGTAATCCTTGCGTTACGCGATCAAAGGAGCTCTCTAAGACAAACGCTCCCCCACGATAGCTTGGAGAGCGTCTCCCCTCCTCCTCCACCTCCTTTGAGGACTCTCGCGGTGGCCAGCGCTATCTGATTGAGCAGCTGTTGAACCACCGCGATGTGAACGGACGTCGGACGAGTTGCCTCTTTCGTTGGCGCGGCTATCCCCCGTCCTGGGATACTTGGGAGCCCCGCTCCCAACTGATGATTGATGTACTGGGTCTGGTTGAGCAGTACGACGCGGCACATCCTGTGTCGCAGAAGGACCGTCGGAGAAAGTCTTCCTGGCACGGTCGTAAAGGGATTTCAGGTTGTCAATCCCTTCGTACATCTCAGTAGAGACACGTACGCGCCACCACGGGCTGGTAAGGAGGTAAGCCTCCTTAGGTGCTCGTGCAGAGTTGTTCACACAACATGGGCACGAGTCTCCCCAAGAGAGGCAGGGTAATCCTTTCTCCCTTGACAGACGATGCAGCTTGTAGCGTGGACCTGTCGGGGTTCGCTTTTCAAACTTATCACGAGCTTTGATAAGTTTGTCGTTCCAAGCGTCGCGACCCACATCCTCGAGGTTATGGATGTAGGCGTTCCACGCCTGAAGTAGTGAGGGACCATCACGTTTGTGATTCCCACTGTACCATCGATGTCTGAAGAAAGCATCGATGAAGAACTCATGTTCAGCGCGATAGTCTTTCGCGCTGGGGTCAAGGTGATGGATCCTTGACGAATCGAACAATCGTGTTCGATAACGATCACTCGTCGTCGCCGACAAGTGATCCATGACGGTTTTAGGAGGCATCCATGCCTTCTTTTCTGGAGCGAGACGCAACACATTGCGGTCCCGCTCTTCCTGCGATGTGCCGACAGAAGTACTGGCACCTCGCTGTGAAGTGGTGTCCATTGGAGAACCGACACCACTATTAGCGCCCGAGTCTCGCGACCTCGAGCGCCTTCGCTTCGGCGATGGTTCATCTGATTCATCAGATGAACCAAAGATGCTGCGACGCAAAGCATCGTCCATGCCACGCTTGGCAGGCGGCTTAGATTCAATCGCCGTCGATACGGATCCGTCATCCGTATCAGGAGAGTACGAGACACCGAGCTCGTACTCTGTGAAGACACGAGTGTCTTCATGACGAGCGTCTGCACCACCAGGTGATACAGACTGGGTCTCTTCAGCAACCGATGGGACATCAGTTGCTGTTGTTTCTGCTTCGGCGTCCGCACAGAGACGTGCAGACGCGCTCTCGGCGGCCTTGCTCGCGCATCGCATGGGCTTGTTAACCATGCGATGAAATGTTGGAAAGTGGACGCGGACCAACAAGTGCAAACCCTGTCCCAAATAATTTGGGACGAGTATCCGTTTAGTCAATCAGTAACTAAAGTGACTGATGGTTAAGGGGGGGGGTGATGTAACGGGGTGAATCGCTACTTAACAATTTATAAGAAATTGTTAATAGAATATAACTATAAGAGTTATATTCTCAGAATATTGTCATAAGGACAAATATTCTGTAGCACTTACAAATAGTTCCTAATTGGTTGATATAGGCCATTATATCAACCAACGAAGACGCGCCACGACAGACGCACGCAATGAGTGGTGAGCAGATAACTGATTTACACATTTGTATTTAGACATAGTTAGATGAATATAAATAGTGATTTATTGCAGACATTAACTATTATAAATACAGTTCTACTTTTTACTCTAACCAAGTACTCGCTTCTTCTTACCGTCTTCCTCTGCACGTACTAGTGTACGTGAAGTTACGAGGCACCGCCTTATTCTGTTATCAGACTAAGTAGCTTGCACTGTCACCAGTACAAGCTTCAGGGTGCCCCGTTACAGAAGATGGATCTGTATCAAAGAAAGTTGAAACCAAGCCGCCTGCCAAGCGTGGCATGGATGATGCTACGCGTCTTAGCATCTTTGGTTCATCTGACAAATCCGATGAACCATCGCCAAAGCGAAGGCGCTCGAGATCGCACGACTCGGGCGCTCACAGTGGTTTCGGTTCTCCTATTTACACCACTTCGCAACGAGGTGCCAGTACTTCTGTCGGCACGTCGCAAGAAGAGCGGGACCGCAGTGTGTTGCGTCTCTCTCCCGAAAAGAAGGCATGGCTGCCTCCAGAGTCAGTCATGGATCGCTTGTCGGCGACGACAAGTGATCGCCATCGAACACGATTTTTCGATTCGTCAAGGATCCATCACCTTGACCCCAGCGCGAAAGACTATCGCGCTGAACATGAGTTCTTCATCGATGCTTTCTTTAAGCATCGATGGTGCAGTGGGAACCACAAACGTGATGGTCCCTCACTGCCTCAAGCGGAACGCTTACATCCATAACCTCGAGGATGTGGGTCGTGACGCTTGGAACGACAAACTTATCAAAGCTCGTGATAAGTTTGAAAAGCGAACCCCGACAGGTCCACGCTACAAGCTGCATCGTCTGTCAAGGGAGAAAGGATTACCCTGCCTCTCTTGGGGAGACTCGTGCCCATGTTGTGTGAACAACTCTGCACGAGCACCTAAGGAGGCTTACCTCCTTACCAGCCCGTGGTGGCGCGTACGTGTCTCTACTGAGATGTACGAAGGGATTGACAACCTGAAATCCCTTTACGACCGTGCCAGGAAGACTTTCTCCGACGGTCCTTCTGCGACACAGGATGTGCCGCGTCGTACTGCTCAACCAGACCCAGTACATCAATCATCAATTGGGAGCGGGGCTCCCAAGTATCCCAGGACGGGGGATAGCCGCGCCAACGAAAGAGGCAACTCGTCCGACGTCCGTTCACATCGCGGTGGTTCAACAGCTGCTCAATCAGATAGCGCTGGCCACCGCGAGAGTCCTCAAAGGAGGTGGAGGAGGAGGGGAGACGCTCTCCAAGCTATCGTGGGGGAGCGTTTGTCTTAGAGATCTTCTTTGATCGCGTAACGCAAGGGTTACGCGACGATCTCGAGCATGAGCGAAATAGGCGTCTCCAAATGGCGGAGACTGCCTTGAAGCATCGAGCTGAGTTTGCCTTTGCTCAGCTTGAGAACGAGAGATCTCTGACATCTCTTCGTGAAGAGCTAAGGGTAGCTCGTGGGATTGCTGATCGGTCTCGGGATGAGATAACTGCTCTTCAGACCCTTGTTGATGCCCACCATCGGGAGCACAAGGCTCTCTGCGAGATGCTTGAGCGCAAGGGCGTTCTTCATCGGAAGAAGCAGCGTACTGATGGTACAGCTTAAGCCGACCAACGTAAAACGTGGGATGCGTTCGCACCTTACGTGGCAGTTCGATCGTGTATGCGTGGCCTAGGCGATGCAATACACGAAATGGGCCGATGCACTTGGGTAGATTTTTACTGCTACCCAAGTTAGTCACTACATGCTTTGGTGGATTAACCGTATACAGTAGGACTAAGTCACCTTTATTTAATAAAGAGTGTTTGCCCTTCCATTCTTGTCAGCGTTTTGCTTTTGCTTATTCACCGCTTCGGCGATGGAGTCTTGCACAAAAAGGACTACCGTTTCACGAGCCAGTATGAACTCATCTGATGACTCGTTAGCTTTAGTGCGCTGTGAGTGCACTGCAGCAACATCAACCTTTTCTTCAGTGAGGGCTTCCGCACTCTCACTGGCATCATCTTCTTTAGTGAGGGCTTCCGCACTCTCACTGGCATCATATTCTTTGATATCGATGTTGTCGAAATCGACATCAAACGCAATGACTTCTTCGTCAGAGCGTGATGAGCGTGAACCAAATCGGTTTTTGCTCGCTCGAGTCCCTCCCCCCCTTGAACCAGAGTTACAATCTAGTAAGGTGGGTACACGCGGATGGCGTAAGCCATTTACGTAAAACGGTGTATGTGTCGTGGACGCATGCACCGAGTTGTTAATGACAAACTCTACAATTGGCAAGAACTCACTCCAACTCTTAAAGGAGTGTACGTATCCTCGAAGTATCTCTTCGAGGACACGATTGGCGCGTTCCGTCTGACCATCTGACTCTGAATGATCAGATGTCGACATCTATAAGCGCTTTCCGAGTGATTTGAACACGGAACGCCAGAAATCAGCAGTGAATCGTGGATCTCTGTCTGATACGAGTTCACGGGGCAAACCATGAAGTCGGAAGATGGTGTCAATAAAGACACAAGCACAGCCACTTGCCGTGATTGTCTCTGGTACAGCCACAAGGTGTACCATTTTGCTGAATCTGTCAACAAATACGAGAATACCCGTATTCCCGCGTGCGTCTTTGGGTAACCCGAAGACGAAATCCATTGATATGGATTCCCAGCACTCAGCCGGAACCGGTAGAGGCTGTAAAGGTGCACGCAGTGAAGGACTTGACTTCACTCGTTGACAGACTTCGCATGCGCGAACATACTCTCGCACAAACTGATACTGGCGGGGCCAGTAAAAGTCTCGACTTACCGTGAGATAAGTTTTCTCCCGGCCACGATGTCCTCCTATAGGAGCATCGTGATACTCGAACATGATCCGCAAACGTAGATCAGCATCATCTGGAATGACAACACGTGGTGTGTCACCAGTAACGGCTGTATAATACAGTAACCCGTTACGAGTAGTGTATCGATCTGATGCAGATCGATACGCAGGCGACAATCGTTTCAACGATTCGCGGGATGGTTGGGAGAGATGTGACAACAACTTCACTATCTCACCATCTTGGGCGTATGCCCGCCTCACATCATCATACAGCATTGTAGATGGAACTGAGGACGTCATAACCGCAACAGTGACTGTCTCACTGTTGGGTTTCGCGACTGTTTCAAAGTCGGGACGACGTGAGAGTGCATCAGCGACGACATTAAGTCGTCCTGGTTTGTACTCTACAGTTAAGTCGTATTCTGCAAAGAATGACAACCACCGCGCCATTCGTTGTAAAAGGTGCGGGCTGTTTACTGCCGTGCCTAATGACGCATGGTCAGTGTAAACAACGAAGGGTCTATCTCCTAATAGATAGACTCTGAACTTCGCGAGTGCATACTTCATGGCAAGGAGTTCTTCGTCATGCACTGGATCGTTCTGCTCAGCTGGTTGCAGATGACGCGACTGATAGCAGACGACGAGTTCAACGCCTTCAAGATCGTACTGAATCAATGCACAGCCGATTGCGAAATCGCTGGCATCACAGACCACATGAAATGGCCTGTCCTGATCGGCAATTGCTAGGACTGAGGATTGTATCAAGCTCTGCTTGATACCATCAAATGAGCGCTGACATTCAGCGATCCATGACCACCTCTCGTTCTTTTTCAACAAACGAGAGAGGTGTACAGTCATCTCGGCATAATTGTGTGAATATTTGTGCAAATACGCCGCTAGCCCAAGGAATTTTCAAAGACCTTTGCCATCAACCGGCACAGGCCAGTCGGTGATCGCCTTGATCTTTTCGGGATCAGGACGTACACCGTTCTTACCAACGATGCACCCAAGAAGTGGTATTTCGCTTGCTGCAAATATACACTTCTTGAGGTTTGCATACAATTGATGCTTTCGCATGATTGTAAGAACTTGTCGGACGTGGTATCTGTGAACCTCAACGTCCGACTTTCCATCCATAGCCCGACTATGGATGAATACGTCATCGAAATAACTCGGTGCGAATTCTCGTACTGGTCTCAACAGATGTGATACACATCTGTTGAACGTGGCAGGGGCATTACTAAGCCCTTGTGGCACTACTAGCCATTCCCAGAGCATGCCGCTAGGCGTTCTCACTGCGGTATAGGGTATATCCCGTTCTCGCATAAGGATTTGATAGAAGCCATCCATCAAATCCATGGACGAAAAGATGGTTACTCTTTGACATACCATCAATGATTACGTCCTTCCTCGGTATCGGCGTCTGAGCCGGTACCGTTACAGCGTTTAATCTGTTGAACGCGTGCACTATCCGCCACCCTCCTGTTGCTTTTCGCACACAGAAGGTCGGAGAGCTATGTGGGGAAGTTGATTCCCTCACATGGCCCGCAGCTAAACGATCGGCAAAGAACTTGTCGATCGCAAGTACTTGTTCACGGGGCAGTGGCCACTGCTTCATGACACAGTACTTCGAGCCTGGTTTAAGCTCGACCTCGTGTCGAATACCTTTATCCTTCGGTAATTCGCACGGAACAGTTTCAGGGAATACATCCTTGAATTCAACCAAATCTTCATAGAGAGGATTTGTCTTGAGTGATTCCCACGATTGGTAGTAATATCGCTCAACTCGTGTCTTTTCATCTAGGACACTCTCGTCCATAGATGAACTACTGAGAACTCTCTCGTTATCAGTAAACACTGTTGCTGACCTTATGTCGGTTACACACTCGTCGTCAGCGACGAGTACGCAGATCTGCTTAACTTTGCCACTACGCAGATCACGCAAGAACCCTTTATGTTCGAGCGTTGGCAACTGAGTGATCTCCGAAGTCAACTTCGGAGGCGCAATCAGATCAAGTGTGTAAGCGCCCACACTTGATCCGTTATTGACTATGACATTCAATGTCTCTGTCATTTCCTGGGTACTTATTCCCTCAGGCTTCGAAGGACTTACTCCTTCGGCTTCCCGGGGACTTATTCCTGCGGGTTTCGGGGAACTTAGTTCCGCCGTACTTGTAATCTTGGGACTTATTCCCTTTACTTCCTCTAGCTGGGGTTGAGCAACCACAACGAGATCCTCTACGAAAGACTCTCCAGTCGATCTAGGATTATCGTTTCGCTTAACCTGAGCGATCGATCGTTTCTCTTCTAGATGTTCCCCGCTAGGGATAAATCTTTGTCCCAGTCCACCCGACTTATTCGAGCGGTGGACCTTCGGCGCAGCCTGTGTTTCCTCACAGCCGCCGGAACTTTGCTCCGAAGTGTAACCGTTTGGTACACTAAGGTTTTGTGCAGTCGTACTAACGACCGTACCACAAGTGAGGCCATCGCACTCACTCGTAGTACATCCACACGCTTGTGGACGCTCCAAAACGTTCATCAGATGGCCATCTGATGAACAAGCGGCAGGCATCGTTACTGTCCGATGTTGCCAGTTTACCCGTGGTTCGTACCTTCTGAGCCACGGTATTCCAAGGATGACATCAAATTTTATACCAAATCCAATACGATGAAGTCATCGTCATATTGGGTATCTTCTAGCGGATAGTGGATCTTCACTATACGCTTCATGACGGTTACGGATGCGCCTGTCGCAAGACGTACCGTCATCCTCGTAGGAGGTGTGTCACATTCACTGAACTTAAAGTGACCATCTTCTAGCGATTGGCGTCGCACAAAATTGTTGGACGCCCCACAATCGACTAGAGCTCGAACGGACAACTTATTCGTCACTTCGAGTTTCAAGGTAATGAGTGAGATCTCATTACCTAGAGCAGCAACGCACAACGTCTGTGTGTTGGGAGCAACCTTCATCAAGAGGCCTACAAATTCTCTTGACGTTGCTGGATCAGTAGGGTGCTCCGCACCTACTGATCCTGTCCGTTTTTTGACGGTCCATCCCGTTGTTGCGTCTTTGCACCAACTGCGGACCCTCGTCCCTGCCCCTTTCTCATGGGTGGACGGTCACTACGCCCAGTGTCGCGAGACACTGGACGAGGGGCACTACACTCGTAAGCGTAGTGTCCTGTCTTCTGACATCTGTTGCATCTCTGCAACTTCTTGTAGCCTGTAGAGCGAACCTTCTCGCTCTCTACATAACAGAGTTCCATCGGCTCTGGACCTCCGTTGTCATATCGTCTCGGTTGACGATATGATGTCGAGCTGGCGCGAGCCTGTCTCAGACTGAAGTCTTCCTGCTCCGCAATGGAAATGGCTTGTTCTAGTGAATCTAGTTCAAGCCGGAACAGGTGAGTCTTGACGGGACCATCCGCAAGACCCTGCATGAACACCGAAACCAACGTGTGTTCATCCACTGGATTGGAACTTATACAACTCGTAAGATGTCGTATGTGTTGAGCGTAAGCGTGCACATCACGCTTACCCTGCTTGAGCTTCAAGAGTTCGGTTCGAGCCCTGAACTCAGCTCTAGGCGGTTCAAACGTTTGTCTGAGCCGCGACTTGAAGACTTCCAACGACCCAAACACATATGGGTCGTGCAACTTGAGCCCCAAAGCCCAAGTCTTGGCACTTCCTGCCAGATTTGACTGGGCAAATGCAGCTTGCATTTCCCCATTGTCGATGCGACGCGCCCTTATGGCGTCGTCTAATTCGACGAACCATCTCAAGAGGGAGTCTTCTTCGACCCCCCTATACTTTGAGATGTCAATCTTCAAAGTCTCGGGTCGACGCGAGTGCATCGACCCGCCAGCAGCAGCCTGCTGCTGTCTCAACAGTTCAAACTGTTGAGCACCCTGTTCTCTCAACAACTCTGCTTGTTGAGAACCTTGTTGGTGAAGCAAGGCTACTTTCTCGCGTTCTGCGTCAAGTTCATTTTGAACGAACTTGGCGATAGTAGCATGTTGGTCATCTCTATTGAGAGCCTCTAGCATGACGCTATCAGCATGGATGTCTATGGACGAACCCATTCGTTCAACCGCATCCCATTCGACATCGCTCAAATGGGAGTAGCCGTCACGCGTAGCGTGAAAGCTTTGGTCATCTTCATCATCCAACATATTCATGTTAGATGTGAACGCGGTCCTTGGACGGACTACGAAGTGCTACCAGGGGTAACGGGGCACCCTGAAGCTTGTACTGGTGACAGTACAAGCTACTTATTCTGATGACAGAATAAGGCGGTGCCTCGTAACTTCACGTACACTCGTACGTGCGGAGGGAGACGGTAAGAAGAAGCGAGGACTTGATTAAAGTAAAAAGTAGAACTGTATTTAGTATAGTTAATGTCTGCAATAACTCACTATTTATCTTCATCTAACTATGTCTGAATACAAATGTGTATTCCAACTATCTGCTCACCACTCATTGTGTGCGTCTCTCGTGGCGCGTCTTCGTTGGTTGAAATAATAGCCTGTATCAACCAATAAGGAACTGCTCGTAAGTGCTACAGAATATTTGTCCTTATGACAATATTCTGAGAATGTAACTCTAATAGTTATATTCAGTCAACAATTTCTTATAAATTGTTATGCAACGGTTTACCCCGTTACAAGTCAATTTCTTATGGACACTAAATACAACCTGCTTGTGACGAAGCTCAACATTGGTGTGGACGACACCAAGCACTAACTTCTCGTTTGTTTCAAGCAAACAAACGGCTCGAGATGCTGCGTTGTGTGTGGCAGCGAGCAGGTATGTGGCAGTCACCCGACGCGGTTCTATTGCGCCGTTGCTGTCAATGCACAGGACCATAAGCTGCCGCGTCTACAAGATCAGTCCTCGCCACGCGCTTCGGAGCTGCGTCCGCGCGCGCGGTCGCCAGTCAATCAGACGCTGCCGAAAAAACGCTCCGCAGTCCGAACCAATTGAACGTTTTATTGTCCAATCAAACGCCGCCCACGACTTTTGTAGCCACTTGTCGCGCGTTGCGCGTCATTGACGAGACAGCGCTATTGGTGACGATTGACGTCCGGACGTGGAACGTGGCACTGCAGCGACGACCGGAGGCTCAAGGCGAACGCGTGGCAGCGGAGCTCTTGGGTCTAATCGCGAGTTGTAGTTGCGAAAATGCAAGTGTACCCATGTGGACCGATTTGTTTTTTACAGTGTGACGACAGCGTTCTTTACGCGGGTTTCGAACGGATGAGATGCAGGAGCTCTTGAGACAGTTGAAGCGGAGATACGGACCGCAATTTGTAGCCCGCGTGCTCGTAGACGTGGTCAATGGCTGTGCCAATATCAAGATGTTTGCAGATGCTCACGAGCTGCTGCTGTATCAGCAGACGTTGTGGTCGGAGATTTGCTCTGGTACTACTTCTACAGACGAGACATTGACGACGGGGTGGAGCGAGCAGAGTAAAGCGATGATGCCGCCATCAGTGGTTGGCCACTTGATGGCCAAGATGACGCACAGGAAAAAGCGCGGTCAAGTGCTGGCGCTTGCACGTGCGTACTTTGCTAGTGCTGCGTTCGATCCAGTGCGAGATTTCCAGCAACGAGGGTTCCTTGAACTGTTTAAAGCAAGTGTGTACACGCAACAGAGTCCGAAATGTGGTGCACGTGTTTTTGGACTACGTGGAGGAAACGTGGCGTGCAGCAGGAGGCAAGGTGGAGAAAGTGAGGACACGGGTGCTCGAGCGAGGCTTTGGAGCTGCGATTCAATGCTGTGTAAAGCTTGAGGAATATTCGCTGGCGTTGCATTGTTATGAAGTGATGGAAAGCACACAAGAGAGGCTCGTTGTGCTGGGGACGGCTTACCGGTGGACGACGCGATCGACGAAGCTGCAGAGGGGGTTGGTATCGTGGATGAAGTGCTGCCAGGTGATGAAAATATATACGTCAACGTGTTGAAAGCATGTATGGAGATCGAGGATTTCTCCGCGTTTAAAGACGCGTTCCGCGGGATGGTAGCTCGAGGTATGGCTCGTAGTGCTGGATTCGGGTCAGCGATTCGTTATTGTCACAAGCATTTGGATCCAGTGTTCCATGAAGAAGTGTTGGACGGGGTATTCTGGACAGAACAGAAGCTTGCAGGTGCCTGGACACTAGAGGTAGAAAACTATAACGATGCGCTTGGCTGTTTTGCCGCTACGAATAGACCGGACCAGGCCAATGAGATATTCTCGCAAATGCTGAACAACTCGTCGTAGTGCCCGGCATATTACGATGCTCGAGACGGTGGAGAGTCACTGCAACGCGTCGATCGGGGAGGCGTTTAATCTCATGAACGTGTTTCTTGAGTGGAAGCGAACATCGAATCTTCAGGTGTTCACATCGCTGCTGTCCATCTACATGCGCCGTCGTGAAGTAGGCAATGCTGTTGCGCTCATTGGTGCGATGGAAGAGCATGGTATCGTTCAGGATGTGAAGGCATTCACGACTGTGGCGTTCATTATGCATCTCGCGGTGACTTGAAGGCTGTGGGAGACGTCTTACGAGATATGGCTAGTCAAGGTGGTGCTACCGACAGGATGTTCTTTGACTACGTCCTCAACGCACTGTACGGGTCGTGCGGTATCGACATGTGTTTCCCGCTCTTGCGTGAGCTGAGTGCAACGAGCTGGCGATTCCAGACGGGCTGTACATCTCGCTAATTGATCTCGGTACCACGATTGGTTTGATTGAGCGCACGGTGCATATTGCGTACAACATGGAGTGCGACGGCTACTGTAACGGGGTGAATCGTTACATAACAATTTATAAGAAATTGTTAATAGAATATAACTATAAGAGTTATATTCTCGGAATATTGTCATCAGGACAATTATTCTGTAGCACTTACAAGTAGTTCCTAATTGGTTGATACAGGCCATTATTTCAACCAACGAAGACGCGCCACGAGAGACGCACACAATGAGTGGTGAGCAGATAGTTGGAATACACATTTGTATTCAGACATAGTTAGATGAAGATAAATAGTGAGTTATTGCAGACATTAACTATGATAAATACAGTTCTACTTTTTACTTTAACCAAGTCCTCGCTTCTTCTTACCGTCTCCCTCCGCACGTACGAGTGTACGTGAAGTTACGAGGCACCGCCTTATTCTGTCATCAGAATAAGTAGCTTGTACTGTCACCAGTACAAGCTTCAGGGTGCCCCGTTACCCCTGGTAGCACTTCGTAGTCCGTCCAAGGACCGCGTTCACATCTAACATGAATATGTTGGATGATGAAGATGACCAAAGCTTTCACGCTACGCGTGACGGCTACTCCCATTTGAGCGATGTCGGATGGGATGCGGTTGAACGAATGGGTTCGTCCATAGACATCCATGCTGATAGCGTCATGCTAGAGGCTCTCAATAGAGATGACCAACATGCTACTATCGCCAAGTTCGTTCAAAATGAACTTGACGCAGAACGCGAGAAAGTAGCCTTGCTTCACCAACAAGGTTCTCAACAAGCAGAGTTGTTGAGAGAACAGGGGTGCTCAACAGTTTGAACTGTTGAGACAGCAGCAGGCTGCTGCTGGCGGGTCGATGCACTCGCGTCGACCCGAGACTTTGAAGATTGACATCTCAAAGTATAGGGGGGTCGAAGAAGACTCCCTCTTGAGATGGTTCGTCGAATTAGACGACGCCATAAGGGCGCGTCGCATCGACGATGGGGAAATGCAAGCTGCATTTGCCCAGTCAAATCTGGCAGGAAGTGCCAAGACTTGGGCTTTGGGGCTCAAGTTGCACGACCCATATGTGTTTGGGTCGTTGGAAGTCTTCAAGTCGCGGCTCAGACAAACGTTTGAACCGCCTAGAGCTGAGTTCAGGGCTCGAACCGAACTCTTGAAGCTCAAGCAGGGTAAGCGTGATGTGCACGCTTACGCTCAACACATACGACATCTTACGAGTTGTATAAGTTCCAATCCAGTGGATGAACACACGTTGGTTTCGGTGTTCATGCAGGGTCTTGCGGATGGTCCCGTCAAGACTCACCTGTTCCGGCTTGAACTAGATTCACTAGAACAAGCCATTTCCATTGCGGAGCAGGAAGACTTCAGTCTGAGACAGGCTCGCGCCAGCTCGACATCATATCGTCAACCGAGACGATATGACAACGGAGGTCCAGAGCCGATGGAACTCTGTTATGTAGAGAGCGAGAAGGTTCGCTCTACAGGCTACAGGAAGTTGCAGAGATGCAACAGATGTCAGAAGACAGGACACTACGCTTACGAGTGTAGTGCCCCTCGTCCAGTGTCTCGCGACACTGGGCGTAGTGACCGTCCACCCATGAGAAAGGGGCAGGGACGAGGGTCCGCAGTTGGTGCAAAGACGCAACAACGGGATGGACCGTCAAAAAACGGACAGGATCAGTAGGTGCGGAGCACCCTACTGATCCAGCAACGTCAAGAGAATTTGTAGGCCTCTTGATGAAGGTTGCTCCCAACACACAGACGTTGTGCGTTGCTGCTCTAGGTAATGAGATTTCACTCATTACCTTGAAACTCGAAGTGACGAATAAGTTGTCCGTTCGAGCTCTAGTCGATTGTGGGGCGTCCAACAATTTTGTGCGACGCCAATCGCTAGAAGATGGTCACTTTAAGTTCAGTGAATGTGACACACCTCCTACGAGGATGACGGTACGTCTTGCGACAGGCGCATCCGTAACCGTCATGAAGCGTATAGTGAAGATCCACTATCCGCTAGAAGATACCCAATATGACGATGACTTCATCGTATTGAATTTGGTATAAAATTTGATGTCATCCTTGGAATACCGTGGCTCAGAAGGTACGAGCCACGGGTAAACTGGCAACATCGAACAGTAACGATGCCTGCCGCTTGTTCATCAGATGGCCATCTGATGAACGTTTTGGAGCGTCCACAAACGTGTGGATGTACTACGAGTGAGTGCGATGGCCTCACTTGTGGTACGGTCGTTAGTACGACTGCACAAAACCTTAGTGTAACAAACGGTGACACTTCGGAGCAAAGTTCCGGCGGCTGTGAGGAAACACAGGCTGCGCCGAAGGTCCACCGCTCGAATAAGTCGGGTGGACTGGGACAAAGATGTATCCCTAGCGGGGAACATCTAGAAGAGAAACGATCGATCGCTCAGGTTAAGCGAAACGATAATCCTAGATCGACTGGAGAGTCTTTCGTAGAGGATCTCGTTGTGGTTGCGCAACCCCAGCTAGAGGAAGTAAAGGGAATAAGTCCCAAGATTACAAGTACGGCGGAACTAAGTTCCCCGAAACCCGCAGGAATAAGTCCCCGGGAAGCCGAAGGAGTAAGTCCTTCGAAGCCTGAGGGAATAAGTGCCCAGGAAATGACAGAGACATTGAATGTCATAGTCAATAACGGATCAAGTGTGGGCGCTTACACACTTGATCTGATTGCGCCTCCGAAGTTGACTTCGGAGATCACTCAGTTGCCAACGCTCGAACATAAAAGGTTCTTGCGTGATCTGCGTAGTGGCAAAGTTAAGCAGATCTGCGTACTCGTCGCTGACGACGAGTGTGTAACCGACATAAGGTCAGCAACAGTGTTTACTGATAACGAGAGAGTTCTCAGTAGTTCATCTATGGACGAGAGTGTCCTAGATGAAAAGACACGAGTTGAGCGATATTACTACCAATCGTGGGAATCACTCAAGACAAATCCTCTCTATGAAGATTTGGTTGAATTCAAGGATGTATTCCCTGAAACTGTTCCGTGCGAATTACCGAAGGATAAAGGTATTCGACACGAGGTCGAGCTTAAACCAGGCTCGAAGTACTGTGTCATGAAGCAGTGGCCACTGCCCCGTGAACAAGTACTTGCGATCGACAAGTTCTTTGCCGATCGTTTAGCTGCGGGCCATGTGAGGGAATCAACTTCCCCACATAGCTCTCCGACCTTCTGTGTGCGAAAAGCAACAGGAGGGTGGCGGATAGTGCACGCGTTCAACAGATTAAACGCTGTAACGGTACCGGCTCAGACGCCGATACCGAGGAAGGACGTAATCATTGATGGTATGTCAAAGAGTACCATCTTTTCGTCCATGGATTTGATGGATGGCTTCTATCAAATCCTTATGCGAGAACGGGATATACCCTATACCGCAGTGAGCACGCCTAGCGGCATGCTCTGGGAATGGCTAGTAGTGCCACAAGGGCTTAGTAATGCCCCTGCCACGTTCAACAGATGTGTATCACATCTGTTGAGACCAGTACGAGAATTCGCACCGAGTTATTTCGATGACGTATTCATCCATAGTCGGGCTATGGATGGAAAGTTGGACGTTGAGGTTCACAGATACCACGTCCGACAGGTTCTTACAATCATGCGAAAGCACCAATTGTATGCAAACCTCAAGAAGTGTATATTTGCAGCAAGCGAAATACCACTTCTTGGGTGCATCGTTGGTAAGAACGGTGTACGTCCTGATCCCGAAAATATCAAGGCGATCACCGACTGGCCTGTGCCGGTTGATGGCAAAGGTCTTTGAAAATTCCTTGGGCTAGCGGCGTATTTGCACAAGTATTCACACAATTACGCCAAGATGACTGTACACCTGTCTCGTTTGTTGAAAAAGAACGAGAGGTGGTCATGGAACGCTGAATGTCAGCGCTCCTTTAATGGCATCAATAAGAGCTTGATACAATCCTCAGTCCTAGCAATTGCCGATCAGGACAGGCCATTTCATGTGGTCTGTGATGCCAGCGATTTCGCAATCGGCTGTGCATTGATTCAGTACGATCTTGAAGGCGTTGAACGCGTCGTCTGCTATCAGTCGCGTCATCTGCAACCAGATGAGCGGAACGATCCAGTGCATGACAAGGAACTTCCTGCCATGAAGTATGCACTCGCGAAGTTCAGAGTCTATCTATTAGGAGATAGACCCTTCATTGTTTACACTGACCATGCGTCATTAGGCACGGCAGTAAACAGCCCGCACCTTTTACAACGAATGGCGCGGTGGTTGTCATTCTTTGCAGAATACGACTTTACTGTAGAGTACAAACCAGGACGACTTAATGTCGTCGCTGATGCACTCTCACGTCGTCCCGACTTTGAAACAGTCGCGAAACCCAACAGTGAGACAGTCACTATTGCGGTTATGACGTCCTCAGTCCCATCTTCAATGTTGCATGATGATGTGAGGCGGGCGTATGCCCAAGATGGTGAGATTGTGAAGTTGTTGACATATCGCTCACAACCATCTCAAAAATCG